TCCAGGAACACCTCTGGAAACTCACGAACAATTGGTACTGAATCCATGGAAGGAACCTCCGCACTAGAATAGCGAACATAAGCCAAATAAGCTAAATACCCATTCTCGACCATATGCCGAGCCTTCACATAAGAGATAACCCTGCTGGAAGAATGGCCTGGAGTCCCTCTCCACTCCAATCGAGGCAACCCCGGCAAGGCTAGGGTCACCGTCTTGGCATGACAATCCAATATAGCATGATAAGGTGACAACCAATCCATCCCCAAAATGACATCAAAGTCGACCATATCGAGAAGTAGAAGATCTACACGAGTCTCAAGACTCCCAATGGTAACCACACACGAACGATAAATACGATCTACAACGATAGCATCTCCCACAGGGGTAGACATATACACAGGGGCACTCAAGGAATCACGAGGCACAATCAAATATGAAGCAAAATAGGATGACACGTACGAATAAGTAGAACCCAGATCAAATAGTACTGAGGCATCTCTACTACAAACTGAAACCGTACCTGTAATAACTACGTCAGATGACTCAGCCTCAGGCCTAGCTAGAAAAGCATAGCATCGGGGCTGGGCCCTACCACTCTAAACTACATCTCGAGGACGGGCCTTGTCTGGCTGGCCTCCACCTCTAGCGGCCTGACCTCCACCTCTAATGCCCCAACTTAGACCTCTAACTATCTGACCCCTACCTCTTGCTGGTTGAGCGGGTGGTGAAACACCCGGTGCCAGGACCATGGCACGAGAACCCTAATACTGAGTACTGCTCGATGCTCGAGGGCAAAACCTTGTAATGTGCCTCGGATCACCACAAGTATAATAAGACCTCGGCTGCTATGACTGCTGACCCTAAAACTGGCCTTGTCGTCTTGAGTAACCACCCTGAAACTCTGGAGTGGAGGTGCACTAGTAGGAGCTGGTGGTGCACTGTAGGCTAGCTGATCGGAATAATGCATATGAGGGCCACGACCATCTGAAGCACCGTGAGAAGCCTGGAGTGCTGAATGAAACGGCCTGGGAGGATGGCCTCTACCAAAAGTACCCCTGCCTCTAGACGAGGCACCACTGAATCCACCAGAATAATGAGGTCTCTTGTCAAATCTCTGACCACTCCCCTGAGCTAGTACCATCTCGACTCGCCTGGCAATATTGGCAGTCGTCTCAAAAGAAATCTCACTCTCAGTCTCCTTAGCCATCTGCAATCTGATAGGCTGAGCAAGTCCCTCAATAAACCTCCTCACCCTCCCTCTCGGTAGGAAGCAGAAGAATAACATGACAGGCCAAATCCACAAATCGGGTCTCGTATTGAGTGACAGACATAGAGCCCTGCTGAAGACGCTCGAACTGCCTCCGATAGTCCTCTCTCAATGTGACAGGAAGGAACTTCTCAAGAAATAACTGAGAGAACTGGTCCCAAGTGAGAGCCGGCGACCCAGCTGGTCTGGTCAACATATAATCCGTCCACCATTTCTTGGAAGAACCCGACAACTGGAATGCAGCGAAATCAACCTCATGGGTCTCTACTATGCCCATGTTTCGTAATACCTCATGACAGCTGTCCAGATAATCCTGGGGTCATCTGAAGATGCACCACTAAAGTGAACTGGGAAAAGCTTGGTAAACATATCCAATCTCCATAAAGCCTCAAAAGACATAGCTGATCCATCATCGGTCTGTGTCGCAACACCCGACTGTACTAACCCAACAGGCTGAGCTGTTGGACTTTGAAACTGGGGAGCCATCTGCTCCAGAGTGTGAGTAGCAGGAGTTTGTGCTCCTCCCCCAGCCTGAGAAACGGCTGGTGCTACAGGAAATGTGCCGGCCTGTGCCACACTCTCCATGAGGCCCACTAAACGGACCAAAGCATCCTGAAGTATCGGGGTGGCGATGAACCCCTCTGGGACCTGAGCTGGTCCTACTGGAAGGGTCTGGGTTGGAGCTTCCTTATCAAAATCTACCTGAGGCTCTGCCGTTGGTGCTGCTGCTCGAGGTTTGGGCTGGGCCCTGCCCCTGCCTCGGCCTCAACCTCTGCCCCTCGTAGGGCTACCACTAGGGGCTCTGGCTGCTGCGTACGTGTTCCTGCCATCTGCGAGAGATTAAGAGTAGAAGAGTTCGATTAGCAATGAGAGAACAAAATCGCACGATAGAGAAGAATAGAATTGATATTTGTTCTTAAACTTCATAGCCTCTGGAAGATAAGTACAGACGTCTCCGTACCGATCCTCCAGACTCTACTAAGACCGCTCGTGAATTGTGAGACCTAGGCAACCTAGTGCTCCGATACCAACTTGTCACAACTCGAAATTCCCACCATCGGGACCGTGATGGCGCTTAACATTTCACTTGCTAGGCAAGCCAACGTTAGAGAATTATTAAGCCAATTCTTATACATTTCAGTAATTAACAGCAAATAAGCTACAACGAGTTAAAGTGAAACCGAAAATTTATAACATCCTCAATATAGGTACTACTACCCGGATCTGGAGCCGCAATTCGCGAACATTCTAGGATTTACTACAAGCACAAGTCTGAAAGAAATACAACTGTTTGAACGATAGAAACAGTCAAACAAAAGAGATAGACGGGGACTTCAGGGTCAGTGAATGCCGACAGATCTACCTTGAGTCTTAGGTGGTCCAGCCCGAGCTGCTATGCCTCTCAATCAACTGGGACCAATACCAAAATCTACACAGGAGTGCAGTGTAATATTAGTACAACCGACCCCATGTACTGGTAAGTGTCTAGCCTAACCTCGGCGAATTAGTGACGAGGCTAAGACAAGGCACCCACAAATAAAACCTGTGCAATTTAACAGTATATGTACTACTAACATCAATGAAAGAACGAGACAAGTAATATCGAGAGGGGACATGCTGAGGGGATCACAAGATAAAGAATCACAGCAGTAATAAGAACTAGAGCAACCGATATACCTTGAACAGATATGAACAAGTAAACACAGTAAAGGAAAATGCACGGCATCACCCTTCGTGCATTAACTCTCTCATAATATGGCACGACATCATCCTTCGTGCATTATCACTCACAACGCATGGCACGGAATCACCCTTCGTGCATTAACACTCTCCCTCACCAAACAATGAATAATAACAACTGGGAGATAGAAATAACAAGAACAAGTCTTACTTTAACATTTGGCCCCACAACACCAACCTCAACCTTGAATCAATACCAAAGTCCGTAAACATGATAAGAACGATCAACATAATGATTAATAAGTCTAAGCATGGATAATATGATCACGAAAAGCAACAATTGCAAGAATAAGCCCACTCGCATGCTATGATCCGACAACAACACATAAGTACTCGTCACCTCACCTATACGCCGTACCCAACATTCAAACACGTAGCAAATAGGAAAATAAGACCTAATCCCTCATGCTAAGGTTAACCACGACACTTACCTCACTCCAACGACCAAACTCAAAGCTCAACCACAACTTTTCCTCTCAAAAGAGCTTCTGAACCAGTAGAATCTAGCATATTACCAACCAAACGATTCAAATTAAGCCTTAGGAACTACCCACGATTGCAAAGAATTTAATTTAGGCTATTATTGTAAAGGTCAACACTCGGCCCGCTTGGTCCAAACTCGAATATCAGACCAAAACCCGATTACCCATTCACCCCCGAGCACGGTTATCTAATTGGTTTTGGAATCCGACCTCAATTTGAGGTCTAAATCCCCAATTTATCAAATCCCTAGTTTCTACCCAAAAAACCCCAATTCCACCATGAAAACCTTAGATCTTAAGTTGAAATCTTGTAAAATAAAGTGAAAGAATGAAAGAAACTAGTTTAGAATCACTTACCAATGATTTGGGGAAGAAAAGTTCTTAGGAAAACTTTCCTCTAAGGTTTTAAGTTTTGAAAATTTTAAGAATGAATGAAAAATCCCGTCTAAGTCATATTTACCCAGCTGCATATGTCGCATTTGCGACCCAGGCTTTGCAAATGCGAAGCCCGCAAATGCGAAGGAACCATCGCAAATGCGAAGTCCTTCACAGCTCTGCTGCCTTCGAAAATGCGAAGATTGGTTCGCAAATGCGAACATGAACTTTCGCAAATGCGAACATGAACTTTCGCAATTGCGATCCTAGGATCGCATTTGCGATCACTGCCCTTCCCAGACTTACTTCGCAAATGCGAAGCTTGGTTCGCAAATGCGAACCCTGGCTTTCCCAGCCACTCTTCGCAAATGCGAACCCAACAGTGGTCGCAAATGTGATGATTGACCTTGCAAATGCGAGGTCTGAGGCTTGCAACAAAAATCTGAACACCAGCAACATTTTTCAAGTTAAATTTCACTCCGTAGCCTATCTGAAACTCACCCGAGCCCTCGGGGCTCTAAACTAAAAGTGCATACAAGTCTAAAAATATCTTACGAACTTGCTCGCACGATCAAATCGCCAAAATAACACCTAGAAATACGAATTTAGCACCAAATCAAATGAAATTTTCAAGAAAACTTTGAAACTTCTAATTTCTCAACCGGACGTCCGAATCACGTCAAACCAACTCCGTTTCTCACCAAATTTCACAGACAAGTCATAAATATGGTATTGAACCTATACCGGGTTCCGAAACAAAATACGGAGCCGATATCTAAAAAGTCAAACCTTGGTCAAACATTTCTATTTCATTAAGCCTATAACTTTCAAATTTCGACAAAGCCCGATATCTTGGGCTACGCACTTCCGATTTTGATTCCGGGCACACGCTCAAGTCCCAAACGATACGGACCCATCGGGACTGTCAAAACACGAATCCGGGTTTGTTTACCAAAAATGTTGGCCGAAGTCAACTCAAATGAAATTTTTAGGCAAAATTTCTTCTTTTTATCAACTTAACATAAAAGCTTTCTAAAAGCACGCCCGAACTACGCATGCAAATCGAGGAGGGTAAAAACAAGATTTTTAAGGCTTAAAAGCGCATAATTGAGTTCTAAAATATAAGATAACTTTTTGGGTCGTTGGAGATACCGTTAAGGAAGGCCGTCGGTCTAATGTTCTCTCATAAACGTACTAATGATCTCTGTCCTTTCCTCAACCACAAAATCACGATTGCCATGGGATTTTTCTTCTAGATTTTCTTCATATACTTTTCGAGCGCTCCAATCAATTTTTCTCTAAATTCATAGTCGCGCTCGATAAGCGGATAAACCAATTCCAGCATGACGCAGGGAATCAAAAGGGGAGACGACCAGGTTGGTATTAGACTGTTCTAGAATTCTAAACATGACAGAAATTTACCAAAATTTAAACCTCCCTTCATATACAATCAACTATCATATTTAATCCGTTCTCTAGTCTATAATACTACTGTTGATAATTCTCGATCTTTTAGTCAAGGTTATTAAGTTTCGGGTAAGTTCTATTCACCTATATTAGGTGCTATTCTGGATTGAATTTCTAGTTCACTGCCTTTAAAATGGTTGCAAATTTTTGTTGCGTTCTATTCTATTCCTACCAACTGTTTGATTAAATGCTTTAAAGGATTAACTAACATTTATTGGATTTGCACTTCCGTAGATAGTCATTTTCTCATAACTAAGGAGAATAGAATTTATTATTATCAGTATAGCAGCTTGATAGAATAGAAATCCTTTTTCCTTCTCAAAAAAGGAATAGGATTCTTCTGTATAGATGACATTCAGATAACTACTTGAGGTTGTGCAAGTACACTTCGTAATTTGTCCACCATTCCATTCTTCTTTATATACTATGTGTGACACTAGTTGAGGCTGTCTAAGTACTGCCATTTGACACTATCTTTACTTGTCACGCTTGCAACAACAGAGCTTCATTATGAATCACCAAGCTGATAATTATTTGTGCTACATTTCTTGGCAAGAAGTTAAAAAAAAAAGCAAATGTCAATAGTATAAGACCACAAGATTAGTAATATTTTTTACCTTTGCCGTGTAAACCTCGAGGATTTCTCTTCAAAGTCAGTGCTTTTGCTGCATCTTTTCATGTTGAAATGATGTTGTACTTGTACTGATTAGATTATTGGCATTGTTTGAATGTTCAAATTGTTCCCGACAAACTACTCTATATTGATCTAGTAAAATGGCACTCTGTATTCTAATCAATCATTTCTCTGTAAACAAGAGAAAAACTGAAACTAAATTGTTATGTTTCTTTCTACTTATAATACTTGAGATATAATGTCACACCGCATAATAATATTTTTAATGTTATTTCTCTTTCCTTTAGCTTATAGAAAGTATTATCCACCTTACTTGGGACAATGAAATATGACAGTTAGGACTTAGGAAAAGATAGCACAAGATGTGTGTCCACCTATACGGCTGGTTGGGAAGTGAATATCATTTGCGAAACACTTCCTACAGTTGTATATAACTCTATCTCTATTAGTGGAGTGATCTTTTCAATAAGCTAATGATGCCGATTTGGTAATTTCTATTAAGCTTCTGATATTAAATGGTTTTTATGTTTTCTTGCAGAAGGTAGTAACCACATGACTAATATATTCTTCTTCAAGATATTGTACGAGGTACAATCACGTTGTTCTTTTTGCTACTTAGTAATTTCCTAAATTAGTTTAGTGATGATTCTGTTCTTTTTTTATTTCAGTTCTTGGAACAACACTTAAGAAGAATGTGAGCAACCAGTGCAAAGGAATCCTTGACTTGGGAAAGCATGGACACTAAAGCTTTTCTATCAAAAGGACGATACCTAAGCTATGACTGGCGCGGATCGTTTAAGAAGTTTAAGGGAAAAGTTATATAGTTGTATGTTGAAGTAACTCTGTGTATATGGTCAAAATAAAGGAGCCCGATCTCGAAGTCTTAAATTGAGCTATGAGTCCGAGTCCGGGCGACTCGAAGTGGAGGTCGGACCCGGCTGAAGGACACACACCTCGACGAAGCAGATCGAAGGCCTGGCACGACCTACATCGAGGGTAGCACAATCTCGAGGACACTCAAGAAAGAGCGGGAATTTCTCAAGGACACGTGGATCAAGGCATAAATTATAGGATAAGATTTGTATGAAATGGTACATGTCCGTACTAGGTTGTTGTACACCTGTACCAATAGAATTCTTTACCGCAATTAGGAATGTACTGTATTGGGGTTTTCTCCTCCTATATAAAAGGGACCCCAATCATTTGTAAAAGGATATCTCATCCTCTACAATAGAACATTCTACTCTGCTTTTCTTGTTTAACGTGCTCAACAATTGTTCTTCAGCTTTATTGTCTTTACATTATTGTTCATACTTTATACTTAGCTCACCTCGAGGTCCCTGAGATAATCGAGCTCGAGGTCTTTTTTGCTCTAACAACACTGGTTTGGTTCATCAATTTCTTTTTACTTAAGCTTAATATTATTCATACATTCACTAGTATTGGAATAAATCACGTATCTTTACAGCCACAAATCAAATTTGATTGTTACTCGCATTTTTCGAGGTAAACAGTTTAGCACCCACCGTGGGGCTAAAGATAATAGTGATTATTTTAATGCTAGTTTTCTGATAACACACGATATTCTTCACACTTTTTCTTGTCAAAGATTCTTTGATTTCAGGCTGAGATATGTCTAGCACACAAAACGCACCAGCTCATGATAGTGAGGGACTCAAAGAAAACAGCGGTATAGGGGTCGGTGTACCACCCATAAACCTTGAGGGAGTGCCAAATTGGAGCCCGTTGATATCAGTTCACATAACGCTCTAAACATGGATGCATGCACAAACCCCGTGAGGAATGCACACTGGGAAGCCCGAGCTGGAGGCCAGGAAACGCGAGAAATGGAAGAAGGAGGAGTCAGCCTCCAAGTGATATTCGAGATTCTGCAAGCTCAGCAAGTCGTCATTGCTCAACTTCAGAGTAAAAAAAAACTCCAAACACCACCGAACCAGTGGACGCCCAGCATACGGAACCAGCGCCTAAAAGGCCCGATGAAAATGGCTCGGGAACTGATCCCGCTATTATGAAAATGCTCGAAGAACTAACCAAAGAAATGAATCCGGAGAAAAGAAAATTGAAGAAAATGACAAAAAGGTGGAGATATACAATTCAAGGGTCGACCAGATACCAGGAGCACCTCCGATTTTGAAAGGACTGGACTCGAAAAAGTTCATACAAAAACCTTTCCCCCTAAGTGCGGCTCCAATGCCCATTCCCAAGAAGTTTCGCATGCCCGATATACCGAAATATAATGGAAAAATTGACCCTAATGAACATATTACTTCATACACTTGTGGAATCAAAGGAAATGACTTGAATGACGATGAAATCGAGTCAGTGTTATTGAAAACGTTTGAGGAAACACTATCAAAAGGAGTTATGATCTGGTATCACAACTTAGCTCCTAACTCTATTAATTCATTTGCTATGTTGGCGGACGCCTTCGTGAAAGCACACGCCGGGGCCATAAAGGTGGCCACAAGAAAATCGGATGTCTTCAAAATAAAACAAAGGGATAACGAGATGCTAAGGGAGTTCGTGTCCCGGTTTCAGATGGAAAGAATGGAATTACCGCCGGTTTCCGATGATTGGGCAGTTCAGGCCTTTATGCAAGGTTTGAATGAAAGAAGCTCGATCGCGTCTCGACAGCTAAAGCAGAACTTGATCGAATATCCAGCCGTGACATGGTCGGATGTACACAATCATTATCAATCAAAAATATTAGGGTCGAGGACGACCAGTTGGGAGCCCCATCGGGCTCGGTCCATCCTAATACATTCGCAGCCAAGCCCCCGAGGGACACAGACCGGGGATCAAGATTCAACAAGGAACGGTATCAACCATATGCCGATCGAAGGAACAACGGCCCGAGCCACAACACCTCTCGGAGCGATCGAAGAAGTGACCGGGGTCAAGGTTCTCAAGGACTCATGAGCAAGAACGGGTTCGATAAGCATGTCAACCCTGCCGAGGTCCCTCGATTATCAGAGTACAACTTCAGCATAGATGCATCAGGGATCGTCTCAGCTATTGGGAGAATCAAAGATACCAAGTGGCCCATGCCAATCCAGACCAATCCCTCCCAAAGGAACCCGAACTTGACGTGCAAGTATCATGGCACGCATGGCCATAGAACGAAGGATTGGAGGCAGCTGAGGGAAGAAGTGGCTAGGTTATTCAATGAGGGCCACCTTCGAGAATTCCTAAGTGATCGGGCTAAGAGTCACTTCAGGGAGAGAGATACAGGCAGGAAGAATGAGCTTGAAGAACCTCAACATGCCATTCACATGATCATCGGTGGAGTAGACGTCCCATAGGGACCTATATTCAAACGTACCAAAGTATGGAATTTTACCTAAAGATAAGAAAAAGGCTCAAGCACTTTGCAAAAAAGCTGCTCGATATTGTTTAAAGCAAAGCAATCTTTATCGTAAAATGTTCGGTGGTCCATTAGCAAGATGCCTCGGGCCTTCTCAAACAGAGTATGTGATGAGAGAAATACACGAGGGACATTGTGAAAATCACGCGGGAGGAATATCTTTAGTGAAAACCATGATTAGAGCCGGCTATTATTGACCAAAAGTGGAAGAAGAAGAGGAAAATTTTGTGGCTAAATGTGACAAGTGTCAAAGATACGGTAACAACATGCATCGACCTGTTGAGTTATTACATCCGGTCATTGCACCATGGCCTTTTATGAAGTGGGGAATGAATATCGTGGGTGCATTACCGCAAGCCAAAGGCAAGGTAAGATTTTTATTAGTACTCACTGATTATTTTACTAGGTGGGTGGAAGCAGGAGCATTTAAACAGGTACGAGAAAAAGAGGTCAGGGATTTCATCTGGCGAAACATCATATGCCGATTCGGGTTACCAAAGGAAATCGTATGTGATAATGGCCCGCAATTTATAGGCGCATAAATCACAGAATTTTTCCAAAGTTGGCAAATTAAAAGGATTACCTCAACGCCTTGCCATCCTTTGGGTAATGGACAAGCTGAATCAACAAATAAAGTCATTATCAACAACTTGAAGAAAATATTGGAGGAATATAAAGGCAATTGGCTAGAGGTGCTACCCGGGGTCTTGTGGGCTTATCGAACAACAACAAAAACAAGTACGGGGGAAACGTCGTTCTCACTTGTATATGGAGCTGAAGCTTTAATTCCAGTCGAGATAGGAGAACCAAGTACGAGATATACTCAAGCTACTGAGGAATCAAACGAAGAAGAGATGCGGGTAAACCTGGATTTACTTGAAGAAAGGAGGGAAGCTGCATCAATAAGGATGGCAGCACAAAAACAAGTTATGGAGCGGTACTACAACCGGAAAGCTCGTCTCAGATACTTCAAGATTGGGGACTTCGTACTCAAGAAAGTTTTCGAATCCACGAGGGCAGCTAATGCAGGAATGTTAAGTCCAACTTGGGAAGGACCTTATAAGGTTCATGGTATCGCAGGAAAAAGAGTATACGAGCTTGAAACATTGGATGGCAAGATTCTACCTTCAAATTGGAATGCTGTTCATCTGAAGAGATACTATTTCTAAGGAATAGAATTACCCGCGGGCAGGTATCCCCATTAACAATTTTATTTTTGAATTATTAAAATTTTACTAACGATTTTAGATGATAGGCAAAAAGCTAGCCCACACTAAATGATGAATTACGACCTGAAAGACACGCGGAAAGAACATAATTTCCGGTCTAGGGTTACAACTATTCCGATGGAAATTTAAATGGGTTGAGCAGTCTTCATCTAAAATCATACCTCCAAGTCCCGCATGTTTTTCCTTTTCAGGAAAAGGAACGCATGGAAGGAATAATCAAGTGCTCGAGATTTCATACTTCAAAGCTCAAACACTTGGGGGACTATATAATATACATATGATATATGTATAAAGAAGGCGAAGAAGACTGAAAACAACTAAAGTTAAAGTCAAGCCCAAAAGTCTACTCATCAAATATCAAGTTCAGAGCAAAGTCACGAGCCAATAACACAAGTCACAAGCCAACCAAAAAACCTTCATATAGATTTCAAAATCTTACGATGTTTAGGTTAAAGGCAGTATTTAGCCATGGGTCATAAAGAAACCCTTGGATTTTCTTTTTTGCAAATTTGTTGTAAAGAAAACAGTTACGAAAAAGTAATAGAAGATATTTAGATACATGTAAGATGTTATTTAAACTTGACAAAGTTCAAACGAAAATTTTATCAAAGTTATTTCAAGAAACATGTGTGTTGCTATTTCTTTTTTCGTATATTTACACCATTATGAAGTTGAGACGTCATCTTCATTAAGTGTCGTATATTAAAGGGCCCTCTTTTATAAAATTCATGTTTGATTCAAAGATCTATGAAGGTAATAAAGCATTTTTTATAAAAAAAAACACAAAAAGGGTAAGACAGAAACCCACATATTAAAAGACAAGACCTTGGACTTATATAAAAAAACAAGGCAAAAAGAGTAAAATAGAAGCTCAAAATAATTAAGTTGAAACGAAACTTTAAAATATTAAGTTTAGACTGAGTATGAACTTAGTCATAAACTGATTGTCATTTTTTACAAAATGCCCCGAAAAGACCTGGGGACTTGTCATTACCAAAAACTTAACCCCCAAATGGGACCAGGGATAAAACCACAAATTCTACCAAGGAAAAAAAAAGGAGTCAAACTTCATAAACTTTCACTGTGGAGCGGAAGAAGAGTCTAAAGCAGCATCATCAACAACAGAAGGCTCGATTTGATTTGAAGGAGCTGGGATATCCACCGCATATATATTAGCTTCAACATACTCAAGAGTATCAGCCCTGGGAGAAGGAAAATTTTGACCTTGCCGAGTTTTCTCAATGGTTTCCTTTATCTTAGCTAACTCGACATTCAAATTAAAACCCTCTTGGCTAGCCTCCACAAGGGTATCATGGCGTGTGTTTAAAATAGCCCAACTCATTTCAATAGTAGTTTTGTCCTCAAGAGCTTCATAATCTCTTTCCCATTGGTCAATATCATTCTTGAGCTCTTCCTTCTCGGCCAAAGCAACATCATAAGAAGATCGCAAAGGGGCAAGTGAACTTTCCAA